CCCCCCCCCAATTCTATTTGAATTTTGTTTTGAATACTTGCATTCTTCACTGTTATCATATAAATACTGAAGAACTTCAGCTTTGGCTAGAAGTCCTTAGAGTATCATCTTTGTTAGATGAGAACTTCAATACATTATTGAAGCTTGATTTAAGATGTTCATCCTTAATTCTTACTGTGCTTATTGGTACATCTACTTGTTTAATTTTGTAGGAGTTGCTTCAATTGGAAGAAGATGTAAAGCTTTTAGAAGAGATGTACCCACAAGGAGAAAAGGTGGACTGCTGGATATAATTTCTGTAATCTTTTCTATTGGACAATTGCTATAACTTTATTATCTCCTATATGAAAATATTAATATACAGGCGGAGACTGCATGGGCAATGACTGTTCTTGGCTACTTGGCAAAACTTGTGTTCGGAATTTTGGGGTAAGGAAGTTATGATCCCCCAAGATATTTATATTCAAGAATATTCTATTCTTTTCTTTTTTGTCAGCCTAGCAGCTGTTTCACATTCCAGTTTTATTTAAAAAATAGGTGCACAGCGATTAATTGAAAAGTGGGAGAGGTGGCATCTTGGTTTAATGTGTGTGTGTGTGTGTGTGTCTATATATATATATATATATGTTGCTAGATTAAGAGGTAGATAATATTGGAGGAGGGGGTTGCATTTCAGTCGCATTTTATATCTATTATAACCATCAACAACGGAAAGAGAATATTTAGTGGAAAACTTGATAAAACATTGTGTTGCTCTTCTAACATCAGGATCTTGTGGGTTTCTTAAAATCTTTTCTTTTCTTTTTTTTTTTTTTTTTTTTTTTTTTTTTTTTTTTTTTGTTTTTCTTTGTTGAGAATAGATGATGTCCATTTCACTTCCCTGTTTCTTTATGTTTATCTGCACGAGGTAGTTGACCTAGTTGGCGCATTTCTTATTTTTATTTTTCATAGTTATGTTCCATCTCTTCTGGAAATAAGTTCCTTGAGAAAGTTTATGCACTTGAGTGTATCTGTATTTTTTTCAGATTTGAGACATTCAGTCACATTGTATAATTTACCCATTTTTCTATTCGTCAGGTTGATTGTTTCAGTGGCTTGGGTTGTACATATTGTTATATATCTACTAATTGATCCCCCGCTTTCTCCTTTCCTGAATGAAGTTTTTATCAAGCTGGATGATGTCTGGGGTACAGTTTTTCCTCACATTTTGCTTTTTTTTTTTTTTTTTTTTTTTTTTTCTCTGTGATGAATGTGGGTATGTTGATTATTTTCCTATGTCACCAGGTCTTCTTGGAACTGCAGCTTTTGCCTTCTTCTGCTTCTACCTTCTTCTTGCAGTAGTTGCTGGAGCCATGATGCTTGGCTTGAGACTAGTTTTTATCACAATTCATCCCATGAAGTACTTACATTCTTCTTAGTGTTGATTTTTTACTTCTTTTCTTTTATTTTGTTGTTTTTCCAGCTATTGATTACTGGAAATTGATGTCGTGGTTTTGCTTCCCTTTTGTCTATGCTTGCATATAGGTGGGGAGCCACTCTGATGAACTCGTTCCTATTTAATGTGGGGCTTATCCTCCTCTGCTCTATCAGGTGGGGATCTTCAGGTTCTATTGCTTGTTCTTATCCCGTTTTAAATCAATTTTTATTTCTTATTATATCTACTTGCATTAAAATTCTTCTGTGGGAACCAATAGTAATCATTAATGGAGAAACAATGTAGAGTAATAAAATCTGGGATACATTTGTATGGATATGGATAGGAACGTAGCATTAATGTTAAAGGGCGTACAAAGTGGGATGGAGGAGGGAGATGAGGTCTCAAACCCCTCTCCTTAGTAAAGATGCTACAAAACCTCGATGATTGAATTGAATAAAAAGGGAGAATGATTGCTGAATTCTCTGTTTGAAATACAGCACCCCTGGCCACACAAGTGCGTACGCAAAATTATAAAACAAGGTGTTTTTTTTTTCTTTTTTTGAAGAGTGAGAAAACTTTAAACTCCCTCATTCTATCATTAAGAATCCCATTACTCCTCCCTACCGAATATTACGGTTCCAGTTTTCTTCCAAGTGTCTACTTTTTTGGTGTTGGAATCCTTCTAGCCCTAGGAGGCCACTTGTTGACTGTACAAATCGTAGGTGCATAGTGTCACGGTTGTAGTTTTTGAACCTTGCGGTGTCATGGCTTACACGCGATCATGGACCGGTCTTAAGGGGAAACTCAAGCTCTGTTTACTTTTTGCTCATTTTATGGCTTCATTAGACCTTAGACGAGGTTCTTTCTTCCTCAACCAAACATGAATTATGCAGAACTAAGCTTGCATTCGGCCATATATATTGCCTATACATGTATTTTTCTAAAATTGCAACTTTAGCTAACTTGCCTCTACTTTACGCCATAGAACCGGAAGACATTGTCACTTTAATGGGCCGAGGTCCTTCAAATGCAATGTTATTTCTCATGTCATCATCTAGGTTCTCAACAACACAGTCCACATGCTTCTACATTGATTTGAAACTTCATCGGAATGTGTTTGGACCCTTAATTCGGTCAACTTGGCCTTAAAATGCTCAACTAGAGCTTATCGGATGATTTGAGCACTAACCAAGACTTATTGAGACATTATAATGCTTAATGGGGCATAAAAGCTAAATATCATGCTAATTAAAAACTCTCGAGTCTCATCAATGCTTCATGATGTCATCCCGAGTGTCGGGATGTCATCGACCTTCGCAGCTCGCTTGGACATGCTTATCGAGAATCAACACATGGGTCAATTTTGTATTCAGAACCTCTCGAACATCCATCAATTTAAGCACTATTGAAGAGTAAGCCCTTCTATGTCCATGCCAAGTCATTTCTACATGTTGTGGTGCTCAACCCTATATTTCAACCTCCAACTTAAGGGACAGGCCACAACACCTCTGCCACCCAACACTATTATAAAAGGCCCATTCCCAAAAGAAGATGTCCTAGACAAGTGTCTAGTAACACTTGTCCATAATGATACATGCATGTGCCATGGGGGCCGCCATGGGGTAGCTTAGGCCCTGAGACCTCTCAACTTAGACTATTTGTCTGGTGTCTGATTAACTCTAAGTTTTCCAAGCTTACATATTAAACTTATATGGACTTAACTCCAGAGCGGCTTGTTGAATCTAATGATAGAACCTCGACTTTTGAGATTATGTCTTGTACCTCATCTGTCCCATTAAGCTTGTTTCTGACACCCATGACAACACTGTCACTTCTATTCTTGCTTACAGCTTAGCTTGACAACCGAGCTCTCTACTTTTGTTGTGCTAGATGTATCGTCATTCTTAACCATATCATGACACTGGTCTTTCTTGATCCTCATGTGGTCCGATAGGCATCACTTATCTATCATCACTAGTGGGAGTGACAACTTACCTTCCTCTAGAATGGTTGCGACACTCTCATCTACTAAAACTAGTCATCGTCCTCACTGACATAGTGGTTTGCACTCTCTTCCACTTAGTCTTGACATCCTTCTGGCATCAATTCCAACCTTTGGTTGCTAACTGACTCGTGATATAATAATCTTATCTTAGAACGAATATGATAAATGCTCAGGACCTAGAGTTCTCACCTTCGGACCTACTTGTGCCCATTCTTAGGACTTGGCCTTGAGACTCGCAACATATGCAAGACAAAGCTTTTGATGTCATTTGGTCATAGCTAACTTCGGATGCTTCTTGGTCAGCTTGGTGACACTTGCCCCAACGTAATCTTGACACTTCAATACACATTCTTGTAACAATGAACTCTTTAGGGTGAGACTACCCTTGTATTGCCTCTTTATGACACCAGCCCATACGCGGTAGCAAAGTCTGGAAGCTCTATGACACAGCCTTCTCACTTGCTGGCACCCATTCAACCAACTCTCAACTTGTGGCCACTTCTTGTAGCAAATGCTACAATGATGTTTTACTCTGGTCTTGCTACAACTTCTCTCTTCTTTATCTGTTACATCCTACCTAGTGTTCCTTCTTGAGGGAACGCTGGTCTCAACAACTTCTTATGAAGCAACTTACTTAGGCATGTGGAAGACTTATGCGTACTCATTTCTCTAGCAGCATTTCCACATGCAAGCAAGCAACCAATTCACTTGAGTTACTTACCTATGCTCTCTCTTCACCATGACGTCCATTCTTAGGATTACTTTTTCTTTTATCAAAAGGCTCTTAACTCGGCCACACTGTCCACCCACATGGACTTCGTCAATTCTCACTTGGCACTCGACTAGCATGTCACCTTGACCTTTGGCTTCAATGTTTGCAATCATTATCATTATCCCTCTAGTGGTAATGACCTTTTGGAAGACATCTTAAATGTTACACCTTCTCATCATCTCTTTTCTAAAATGGATCTCCAAGCCCTTGGAAAATGAGCTTGGTATCACAGTCGCACATTTTAAACCATGCGACATCATGGCTTACACACAATCATGACTAGTCTTAAGGGGGAACTCATGTCCCGTTATACTTTTCGGTCATCTTTGTGGCTTCATCAAATCTTAAACAAAGTTCTTTCTTTTTTGACTGAAGATGATTCATGTGGAACTAAGTTTTATTCGGCCATACACATCGCTCATGTGTATATTTTCCTTCAATTTACTCTAGCTGACTTACCTCTACTCTAGGCGAAGTCCTAAGACTCAACCTTGCCTTTACTCTTGGTCGATGTCCTTCAAATGCAACGTCACATCTTATTTCATCATGTAGGTTCTCTACAATATGACCCGCACATTTCTACATCGATCTAGAATTTCACTTGGATGCATTCGAACCCTTCATTGGGTATAAATGGCCTTAAAACGCCTTGTCAGAGCTTTGCGAGTGATTGCATCATTTATCGAGACTTTATAATGCTTAAATGAGCATAAAGCCAACTATCATGTTAATCGAGAACTCTTGAGTCCCATTGATACTTCATGATACGATATCAAGTTTCAAGATGTCATCGACCTTTGCAGGTCGCTTAAGCATGCTTATCGAGAATCGACCCATGTGTTAGCTTTATTTTCAAGACCTCTAGAATATTCATCCATCCATCCATCGAAGGCATGAGTCCTCCTGTATCCCCCTGCCAAGTCATTTAGATATACGATGCCATTGTCGACTCTATATCTCAACCTCTGACTCTAGGGAAGGGGCACATGTCGGCACCCTTGTGCCACCCTACATTATTCTCAAAAACCTATTTCCAAAGGAAGATACCCAAGACACTCGTCTTGGAACATTTGCTCACCCCATGACACACATATAGTTCATAGGGTAACTTTGAGGCCTAGGTGTGGTGGAGAGCCAACACCATGCCTCCCTATATAGTACATATTGAGACATTTTTTATCTGGCAAGTGTAGACATTAATAGTAACGATGAACAATAGTCAATGTGGAGTGTCTATTTGGTGTTCGATTGACATCAAATTTGGCAAGCTTACATATTTCACTTATACGGACTTAACTCAGAGCTGCTTGTCGAATCTCATGATGGAACCTTGACTTTTGTATTATGGCTTGGACCCCAACTCATTCCATTAAGTTTGTCTCTGACACCCTTGATAACACTATCGCTTCTATTCTTGCTTACACCTAGCTTGACAATCTTGCCCATCCTTCTTGGTGTATTAGATGATATATCGTCTTCCTCGGTCACATTATGATACTTGTCTTTCTCGGTCCTCATGTGGTATAGGTGACACTCATATGTCATCTTCTATGTCATCACTTGTGAGAGTCACAACCTACTCTCTTCAAGTATGTCAAGTATGGTTATGACATAGCAGGAGTACTAGTTTGTGAGTACATCGCATGGGGAGGGGCTGCCTCTAATTGTTTTGTTAATATATTGAGCTCTTGGATAACCAAGCACGAGTACAATTATTTGGTCTCTTTTGGGACACTGCTGGATGAATTTAAGATGTTCGGTAAAGTCTAAACTTAAGAACATGTTTATTAAATGTTAAGCAGTTGTCATGTATGAAATTAGAAGGGAACTCCATACCTTAATCAATTTTCTTGGTTGATTATAGCATGCCTTTTCTCTATTTTATAGTGTGATTCAGTTTTGCTCCACGGCATTTGCATATTATGCACGAGCAACTGCGGCACAAGAAATCTTTGGACACACATTGCAGTCTCTTCGCGGTATCAAATATTTGTACAAGTGAGTGAGTTGAATTTTATGTACTGATTTTTCTGCTTCTGAATCTTTTCCATGTGTGTGTTTTTCATTCGGTTCGATAAACTTGGCTGTTGCATTGTAGGTATAATGTGTTTCAAATAGCATTCGTTGCGTTGGCGGGATTAACCTTCGTGTATTACGCTGCATTCGTAAGCTTCCAAAACCAATGTCCTTGTTTGTGCTTTAAACTCCCATTTTCTTGGTGTTCTGATTCCATGGTTTCTCCTTTTGTCTTGTAATCTTTAAGGGATGGAGAAGAAAGAAGCCCACTGGCAGATTCCAGCTTTCCTCGTAATCGTACGTGTTTCCTCGACAAATCGATAACTGACTAGGCCAACAAATTCTCTATTATTCGTCATCCTTTTTACATTAATCTATTTGAAGATCGCGTTTGGCGGAGTCTTTCATTGTTGAATCTTTGTGAAGTTGGCTGAAAACAATCCAGAGTTGAGTGAGACATTGTGAGTGCTGCTGCTCTGCTTCTTGACTGTGTGTACTTTAAAAAGCCTCTTTTGTATGTATTGTTTCTTTGATTTGGGTTCTACGTTGGCTTAGGGCATGTAAAATTAACAAAATGGTTGGTTCTTTGAACGCTCTAAAACGGTCTTTAGGAAATACCTTTCTTTGTAATATAGCCAATTGAGGATGAAATAGTTGTTGTTGTACCATTTCTTTAATTCATATTGATGCTTTTATTTTATTTTATTTTATTTTTCCTCTTCTGTTTAGATCAGTGCTAAGGTTTGGTTTGGTTTGGTTGCTTATTATGTGTCATTTTCTATGTACGCCTTTCCATGTTATTTATATGGCTAAATTATAAAAATATTATACTTTTTATATTTTAAGCCATATATATATATATTTTTTATAAATTTTATACTCACAAATGAAATTTAAATGGTAAAATTATTAATGTATTAAACCTTATTACACACATTGTGAAACTAAGAACACACAAGTGGGATTAGGAGCTTTGAAGCTTATTCTTTTTCTATGTTCCATTGTCTATTTTTAACTACAAATTTATAGTTTAATTGATACCAACAATAAAATTGAAGTCTACTTTTCGTATTGTAAGCCAATTTTTATAGCAAATTAAATAAATGTATCATAACTTTATATCTATCAAACTGATGAAGCAAAAGATCATTTTCTTCCATGGGTGAGTGAAATTTAAGTTTAAGAATAAATAATCATATTATTGGCCATACATTATATCAAGATTTGACAATGAGGAACAATACCAACCAAAGAGAAAAGAAAAGAAAAAGATAAAAAAAGAAACGTCTGATACATTCGGAGTCCCACTATATTGTGATTGTGACTATTTGGTATGGTGTCGAGTTGGTTCCTAGAATTTGAGTTAACAAACAAGTCTGATGCAAACACAACAAAGCAAGTTGATCGATTGGTCGAGATCGAAGAATAGATGCTCTACCTACGAGAAGTTTCGATGATCTTGGAATTTTAGAATCTCGCCCGAATAAAATTGCCACTAAATTCTACAGAATCGACGCAGTGGTAGGTTTTCTTGATCGGATTCTCATCTAGGAATTATTCTTGATGGGCATGTCGTTTTAATTCCTCATAGTCGTACTAGTACTCGGAGGCTCGAACTACATGTCGTTCGAGAACTGGAGAACAGTTGATTAGGTTTTCAATTTTCATCCAGGCAGATTCGTCCCGCTCTCGCTCGTAAATGGCAATCCAATTGAATTTGAGTCACGTTTGATGGTTCACGAAGCAGTAAATTCGAGCTCCATTGATTTCGCTTGCGCCGCTCAGCCATACATAGCTTCATTCTGTGCCTTCAATTCTGCATCTCTCTGCAAATTGCAAGAAGGAAATGGACATAGCTCTGTTTTCTCCGTCGTCGCTTTTCCCCGACGAGGACGAATCGTCTAATGGTACTTACTTCACTCCTATCTCCATCTCTCCCTGCCTCTTGTCGATCGTGCTATGATTTACTTCTTTAGGATGATGTATTTCGATCCTCTCCCTGTTTGTTTGCTCAGATGAGGGAACTTCAGAGACGCAGCAGAGCTATGAGGAAAGGAAGCATCAATTTCCTGGAATGGTATTGTTTCTCTTCTTGAAGTTCTTTCTTAAGAATGTCGTAATAGAGGTAGTCAGATGCTTTGTTTTTTACTTTCTTAGCATTAATTTTAAGCTGATGATTTACCTAAGATGGAGTTCTTTTGGTGCAAGTCGCAGTGCAAATTGTTATGCCACTGGCAGCTCGAGTTGTTTTGTTTATGTGGATTTTTGTTTTCTCACACTGCGACATTGGCATTGAACTGCAGGAATTGATTATTCGAGAGTTTTCATTTCATGAGCTGAATGCAAATTTGCTCTGGCCGGGGACATTTGCATTTGCAGAATGGTTGGTTCAAAACCCGTCTTGGATTCGAGGACGAAAATGCATTGAATTGGGAAGGTACAATTATTCAATCGCTTGGGCAGTTAGCAAAGTTTTAAAATCCAATGTTCATCCCTTAATTTCTATATAGAGATCAACTTTGGAATATCATATTTTAGTATGTCAGTTCTTACCAATGATAAATTTTTCATCAGCCCATTTTCATCTTGAAAACTGGCACTTGTTCAATTACATATTACTTCAAAAGCTTGGCCATATAGACATTTATAAATCAAGTAAATTAAAAGAAATGTTATGTCAAGTTTCCATTAAATGATTTACATGAAATTAACATTAAGGATTCAAATGATTTTTTTATGCAAAGTTAAAAGGAAAAGTAAAATGTTTGTAAGTTTGAGCGACCAAAATACTTAATTCTTTGATTGCACTTTAATTTTCTTCTATGCCTTAGTCTCTTTGTATGTACAGCCTTCTCAATCTCCTATATATGCACCACCGTCTATTAATTCTGCACCTGTTTTTGCAGTGGCACTGGTTCGTTGGCGATATTTCTACGAAAGTCATTTAATCTTGATGTTACAACATCGGACTATGATGATCAGGAAATTGAAGACAACATCGCCTATAATTGCAGTGTGAATGGAATTGCACCGGCCCTTCCTCACATAAAGCGTGCGTGAGTTCTCTTTCTATTCTATAGATTAAAGGATAAGACTTTGTGATGCTAAGATAATATGGCTGCGGTTCTATTGAATCTTTCATGAAACATTACTCTTCTGAAGTTCTTGAAAGAAATATTTCACCATTTTGAAGTAGTAATCTTTCCCCTCTGATCAAATATAATTCATAGCGACAATGATTCTCCAACCGGTTTTGATTTATTCCAGAATTTTGAAGATTTTTTTTGTTTTAAGTCCAAACAATTTTTATTAACGTAAGAAGACTGAATTTGATGTGCTAATACCTTTGAACTCATCGTTCGGTTGGCTTTTAGAAGCGGTGAGCATGTCACCCCTGGGCTGGCTTTTACTTTGTTTCAGCAGCATTTTCTTCAGTATTTCAGGAGCTGCCAAGAAAATAATTTTATGTAATTGTCATTATCTGGGATTTTTCTTTAAAATCTTTTTTTTTTTTCGAAACTTGTCTTTATTCAGGGATCTTAGAATATTACATAGTTCTTACATTACTATTTTTCCTTTTCAGATACATGGGGAGAGAACTTTCCAATTAGT